GTCGTGTTTGCGCTTTTATGCGTTTTGTGCTATTCTGCGTCTTGTCTCGCCGTCAAGTTCTCGAATTGTGGTGAGTATATGCGTTTTGCGAAATTTTCACGCAATATTCTTAGGTGATGAGCGTTGTATATTGTATCGATCATCCTGATTTTCGTGCCTTAAAACTTTGGTAGGAAAATTCATACTGGATTACAATGTAAATCCGCGCCATACAAAATTAAAATTATTAATGTTATAGTCGATATTAATAACAATTGTGTGCAGTGCTTTAAGAGTATTTTCAGATAATTGTTTATTGCACATTTAGAATCTTTAAATCTTTATAGGAACGTTAAAATGATTGTAATGGAAAAAGAGAGAGACATTCGTGCAAAATTAGATATTATGTTAATTAACGTTAATTATAATCAATGTTAGTGATAATTATAATGGTGAAAAAGAGCGCTACATTTTTCACGAATTTTATCATGTTTATCGTATTATCGTCTAAAATCATAGAAGTTTTGTAATATGTCTTGAAGGAGATAAAGGTCGATATGAAGAAAGAAAGGCAATCGGAGGTCCATTTACATTACCTATTATTTTTAGAAATGATAACTAAAGCAAATGGATTATTTTAATTATCATTTTAATCTTTTCTTTGTTTGCCTTTCCAAAGTCTTTCTAGGTACACATCTGTTTGAACACGAATAGTATATCTGTAAGTGAAACTGATAGATTTCTAATTTCAATGAGTTCAGATTTCAATGGACAGATATAGATATGCACAGACTCTAACAATAAGTATATATGAATGACTGTTATAGCTTTTTTTGATAACGTAAGAACGCATCTATTATCACAAATGCCTCTAATTGCTTTTTGCTTTTTTATTGTATTATTGTATCTATATCATAGGGGAAATAAAATCCCCTTCGAAGATGATATATTATATATATACAGGGTGTCCCCAACTTAAATGTCAAAACTTTAGGAGCGTATATGGGACCGATAAACTAAGACAAAAAGTCCTTTAGAGATTTGCTCGTTTTTGCTTTGTTTTGAAGAAAATCGCAAAAAATGAAACAAATAATTTTCACCAAAAATCCTAAAGTTTTGACATTTAAATTGGGGACACCCTGTATATGTAAATAAAAATAGCAATGACAATTCTCTCTTGTAATTATTTCGCAGCGATCGCGGGATTTAGTATTTATTATTTATCGTAAAAGGATAGTAAAAAATGTATTCTTTTTTTGTTATAATTTCTAAAGAACTTCTGTAGAATAGCATTATACCATTTTTCTTTAAAGTGCATTTTGTCTTGTTTCCAATTGTAAAACTGTCTCCCCGATTATATTATCAAATCATAATGTGTATGACCTGTCAAAATCAAGAGTGAAGATGTGTGTAATGTATATGTCATTTACCGGAAAAAATAACAATGTGACTCATGCACGCATGTTACTTGTCTTACGCGAATGTTAACTTATCGTTTGAGATAAGAATGAAATAATGAATAATGACAAAGTTCGATGCTAGTCATCAGCAATAGGAATCATTTATCAAAGAAATTTCTTATTTAAGGAAACTTTTCATTGAAAATTGTAATCGGTTTCTTGAAATTTTATTAGTAAATATAATATACATATTTCATATATATATATATATATATATATATATATAATTTTATATATATTTATATATACATATCATCGCATTCAAATTTTCAAGTCAAATAATGTTAAAACTAATATTTTCAATATTCTTGAAAATTATCATTTTTTAATATATTTAATATATTGTTACTTATATATATAGTATATTTGTGTGACAAATTTAACACACATCTATGATATATTTCTTACATGTAGATTATTTACTATACATATTTAGAGTGAGATATAATTTATATTAATTTTTTTTCCATTCTATTTCAGGTTCAACATTGGGCACATTTACGAATGTATCGGTCTCAGGATGTCAAGCGTCGGATGAAAAATGTGCTTTAGTGCGCGGTACTAACGCATCAATATCTATTAACTTCATACCGAGTAAGCACTTGATAAATTATGTTTGAAAAGTCAAAAAATATTAATAGGTTTACATATACATATAATTTTGTGTTATCTATTCATAGCGATTATTTGCGCATTTTTTTGCAGACAAGAACATCACGCAAGTCTACGTACGTGTATATGGCATATTGCTTGACATTCCAATACCTTTTCCTTTTGATAAACCTGATGTATGCAAGGATCTTAATGATGGAGTCGCTTGTCCTCTGCACAAGGATCAAGAGTATCATTACACAACTTCATTGCTTGTGCAGAAAAAATTCCCTTCGGTAATTGGCATTTAAAATTCATATTTATTTTTTTGTTCTTATATATTTGCTATTTCTACTTTTACTTTGAATTTAATTTTAAATTTAATCTAATTTAGATTTGATTTATATATTTAAGTTAAATCTCTATATATATATATCGAGACGTGTTACTAAATTTTATTTTAATAAATTCAAAATTCAAAATTTTTTAAAAATCTAATATTAAGTTTTATAATATAATAAATAAAATAAAAATTTTTTTAATGATTGAAAATGTTATCTTTTATTATTTGTTCTTCAGGTGAATGTGAATATTAAATGGGAGCTCGTGGACGAGGATGGAAAAAATATAGTATGCATTGAATTTCCAGCCAAAGTTAAGTAAGTCAAAGAACTCACAATTCTAAATTAAAAAATTAAAGAAATTACTTTACTAAAGTGAGTTTGTGCCAATTCCAAAATAAAAAATATATCGATATATTATTTAAACTTAAATATTATAAATATGTTAAAATGCATTTGTAAGGAAAATAAATAAAGCATAACAAAATAAAAAAGACTTAAAAAAATATCATCTATAATATATATTTTAATACATGTATATATTTTACAAATGTCAATGTTTTAACAACAGTTATAAACAATTGAAGATAATTATAAATAAAAATAGAGCAATTAATTACTCTGACATATTAACCTTTGGATATCTGTTTTATTAGATATTTTTGTTTATGAGGTTTTTATTAAAAATATTTTCTATATTAGATCTAAAATTTATAATTAAACTATGATAATTCATTCTAGAATTTTCTTGAAGCTTTTGTCTTCTCACTACAGCCATATTAAATTATGATATCAGAAAAACCAGTTTTTAAAAAATTTGTTTCACACAAGAAAAAGATTCACATTAAATTCTTGTTTTTAATATGTCATAATACAACATAACCACAATGAGGGACCACAGGAGCCTTTAAATAACTAAATAAAACAGAATATTGAAGGTAAAAATAATAATTTGCTGATTAGTCTAATCAACTCGATGATTAGCGAGTCATCGAGTTAGATGTTAGTTATCACAATTAAAATACTGAAAATATTGGTGTTCAGGTTTAGCTTCGAGTTTTACTCTTTTTTTTAGCTACATTATACACTTGCTGTATTTAAAAGAATAGGGAAGGAAAATCGTATGCATAAAGTGCAGCTAAAATAAAAATTAAATTTTGTCAGTTTGATTCAATACAAATCTTGGTAACTTTGTTCTCCCATTTCTTTTTTTTTAAATGATCTCTCTGCTCTAAATTATTATCAACTGTTAGTCACATCCTCAATCCTATCTGGTTGATTATCCAGGTCAATTTGATGGATCGTTCGTTTGCTACATTGACCTTCCAAGCTTTGTTGACTATGTTTCAACATTTTCTCAGCCTTATAGATGGGCTCATACTCTCTTAGTTGCATTATAAAGCCCTCATTTGGGTTTATACAGAACCTTCGCTGCTGCACTAGCATGTATGCTTGCCTACAATAAACATTGGAAGGATTTATTGCTATTGCAATTTTAATGAAAACAAAAATTCATAGAGTAATTCATGAAATGAGTTTTCACTCTCTCTTGTCAAAAAGTAGAATGAGCTAGAATCTTTTTATATTTTTCAATTATAAAAGTTTTATATAATTTTATATTCAAAATTTTGGACAATTTTAAATCGAATGATATAGTATATAAGTTATAAAAAGAAAAAGGCTTACACTTGTGAAAGTTCGTATGTTTCCATAATATACGCTAAAATCAACGCGGCAGATCTCGATATGCCAGCATTTCCGTGAACCAAAACCCGTCCGTTTAAATTCAAACTTTCGTCAATGAATACTTTTACCTTCTTGAAGTGCTGAATAATATTTTCCGTCATCGTGTCGGCAATATCCAAGACTAGATATCTTTAAAAAATATAATAAAATATACATACACATATAGATAGAATGTTGCAAGAATGAGAGAATTAAGAGAATATTAATTAAATCAATTAAATAGATCTTAATAACATGTTAAAAATATGAAGAGAGATAATATAGCGAAATCAGAAAATAATATAAGATTATGTATTAAGATATTAATAAAATTAAGAGAATAAAAAAAAAAAAAGAATTACAAAGAATCAGAGCTTTCGTCAAAGGGTTTTTTAAATTTTTCTAATTCTCTTTTGTGTTAAATGATTTTATTCATAACTCTATCATAATTAAGAGGCACTACGTACTTGAATTTATGGGGAAAGTTAGGCTTTACAAAATTTGCCTCAATAGCTTGTCTGACGCAAATTATATGTGTTATTCCATGATCTAGCAAAGATTGTAAATTGGAACGGCTAGCAGCACTATATGGGCCAAGAAATACCCCAGGTACCACCTCCTGTATGTGATGCAATAGATTTAGTTTTACTAATGATATATAATCTTCTTCTCTCTTTCTCTTTTATAAAAATAAGAGAAATGAGAAACTTATTTATCCATTTTTTAATTAAACTTTGTGAAACTATAAAAATCGAAAAGTAAGTGTTTTCGCAGATTTATATTTGTATAACAATTTTTTATCAATATAATTAGCAAAATATGTTGATAAAATTTGATCTTTGTTCTAGAAATATGTCGTATATTGTGTTAAATTATTACCTGCATGTGCCTTCTCATCGTGTATGTCCATTCTTTAGGTCTGCTTAATCCAAGAATATTAGGTACTCCTACACAGTCCTCAGATTTGATCCTGTTGCTTTCCTGCAATATTGATATAACAATTATTTATATTATTCATTAAATATATTTTAACAAAAGCTAAGAGAAATGAGTAGAGCTAAATTTTTGTCAGTTTTGACTCTCGATCAGCTGTTTATATAACCTCGTTGGGAGGGATGTTGTCGTTGCCGTCCATCGACAGCATCGCCATATAATTTTTCATGCACACCCGATGGCCGAAGTATATACGAATGAAAAAACGAACTTAGAAACGTACTCGTGTCGTTGTTGTGATCGCGATCACGTTTTTTTCACGATGGCCATTTATATGCAAAAGATGCACTCATTCTTGTCAGATTCACTCAGACTCAGATGACCTCTGGTCGAAATCATTGTCAGCACCGACTATTGATGCCGATAGATGTCGCCAGCTGTCAAAAACATATGCTTTTGCCAGCTGTCAAAAACATGTGATTCCGCCAGTTGTCAAACACATGTGCCTCGTCGTGTTTAATCACCAAGAAATTAACTTTAATAATAATAATGTTAAAGAACGGTCTTTAACATTATAATTATTATAATTACAATCTTAGATCGTAATTATAATATAAAGAATTTTACAATTAAATTTATAAATTTATTTTTTAATTATTATTATATTATGAATATTATGATTTTCTGGGATCAAATATTGCAATTATTATATATATATATATTCAGAGATTTCAATAGTTTACTTAAAATGATTAAAGTTATTAAATATTTCTAATAATTTGCTGTTTTTGGAACTTAGATACTGAAAGATTTAAGATAAAAAATTATTTTTTACTGATATTATATATATTTTCTTTATAATGTGAAATTTCTGTTTCGAAAATGGAACATTTCGGCCGTTAATAGTTAATGTTAGTGATTAATGTTTCTTTTTTGCATGATATTTCAACGTACACGTCGATCTCGCGACTTGCTAAGAAAACGACGATAAATCATGTGTAAGACCGACATTAACGAAATCGCTGGTGAATGTTCTAAAACATTTCAGTGCGAAATGTTATTAAAGAAATATCATATAGTTGTTTTTTTATATATAATTGATATTGAGAAAAATATTGCCATATGGTTCGATATCTGGCAGTGTATTATATCCCGCGATCATTTCTTAAGTCTTATATCAATAGAAAAGCGTTTTTGATACATCCATATTTTTTTCTATATTTTTAAAATTAACATATCTTTTTATAAATATAATTAAAAATCTCGTAAAAAAGGGAGCTTTATCATTATCTATCGTTTGCCTTTTCAGCTTTTTGTGACAAAGTTGCTTAACTTTTCAAAGAAATATCTTCCATCGAATTAATGATTATTTTTCTTACACAATCGTGCAAATAGTATCGCTAATTATATATTCGTTATGATAAACACGTTACATATCGCACTGCCAAACACAGGTGAGCAGAAAAAAATTAATGATTTGCAAAGCGCTCAACAGGACGTGTAATAACAGAGTCTGCGATTCTTATCCTTTCGCGTATCGGGGAAAAATTTTCAAATGTAGGAAATATGCAGAGCGCTTTCGGACATATTAGGCATCGGGGGAGGGAGAGACGTAAGTATGTAATTTAGTTACGAACTATTTAATGCGTTTTACGACGGTTTCTGGTTGCGGTAACCGTTCGTTTTCTTCCGGGATACGGTAATACGATCTTATTTCGATCGACGACGTGCCACGCTTTCGCGATGAAAGTCCGCGTATGTATATATGTATGTATGTCCTGCACATGTGTGACTAGCTTATGTAGTTTCAGCTTATGCATTCTTCGTAACGCGTTTCGCGCCGATGAGGCTTATAAAAAATGCGAGAGTGATCACTTCCGCAGAAACTATGATATATATTCCGTTCGCTCGGTTATGTATTTTTGAATTGCACTTTCATTTTTAATTAGGTTTTGCATTATTTATTTAAAAGCCAAAAGCGACTTTTTTTGTGAATTGGATAGAAAACATATACACGTATATAATTTGCTGGAAATATATAGAATTTAATTACAAAAATCAAAATCTGTTACAAAATTAAAATATAATTTATATATATTCATATTCCTCTGTATTTGTTACAATAAGTCGAGGATATATATAAAATTCATGAAAGAATTCATAAAATATATTAAATTTTTTAAATTCATTTTCTTCATATTTTTATGTTGACTGAAATATGTCAGGTTTCCATTTTACTGGCTCTCGTATTTTTTATTGTGGAACATGGATAAATTGCATGGTACGGTAACATTTCTTTGCAGAGTGAATAGCGCTGGCAATAAATCGTTGTCATTTGCGCAGCGCAATTCGAAGTGCTTGCAAGTGAAGGGTATTGGATAGCACCACCCATTTCATCACATGGAGAACCGTATTATCTCGCGCGTGTAAGAAGCATCAGTTCCATGTTTGTCGCTCTCAAAGTCATTGCTGGGCATTCTGAAGTAAATTAATGGCATTTATAATCAGAAGCATTAAACTCCATCTTAGATTGTTTACAATTCGTGACAAAGCAAATTAATAATCAATTATAGAGATTTCGGATAATATTATAATTACTATTTTTATTTTAAATTATATATTATTAATTATGCAAAATAAAATTGAATTTTTTGTAGAACATATTTTTTTAAAATTTACTTAATGATTTTCTTAGCATAAGATGCTATTTACAATTTTATGCATGGAGTTACAATTACAATTGTATAAATGAAAAAAGTTTTTTATACGATTTACAATTTTTTTT